AAGAACATGATGTGCCTATGTCTTTTTTCCGGTTTTTTCCACATTGCAGAAGGTTACTTTTGTTTTTTCTCTATGGTTACTTCGTATTTTTCTGTGTGGTGGTTCTGTCTTTGGAGTTTTCAAACTCACGTGTGACTTCTTTATTTTAATCTTTGGTACTGGGACATCCTGACTTTTCTTACATGTGGCAAGTTGGCCACATGTGCTAAATTACCCTCCCTGACTTGATCATCTGCCTGACTTGATTTGCCCATATTTCTCATCCTCTTGTATGATGTGTGATCTAGGGCTAATGAGGATCTCTTTTCTACTGYAGTTTCAGTTCTTCAGCTGGCATTGCTTTAGTAAAACTTGAAGAAGAATTGGAATTCGTAAAACTAGCAGGCATTTTGCTTTTGTAAAACCAGGTTAATTTTGACTGAGAGATTCATTTCATGGGTAGCCTTAGAAAACACATAAATCTTTCATAAGTTTGTTTCCTTCTATTTTTAATGCCCTAAATCTGTCACATACATTGTTGACTCAAAACATGTAGCAAGTACCAAGTAATCAAAGACAGAGAACACTTCTAATCTTCATGTAGGCTGCATAAGGATAGCTAAAGAGTATATTTGAAAGGTTAGAAGTTGGGGGTGAGGGACAAGTAGGATATGGCCAAGGAGTTGCTGAGAAGCTGTGGTGAAGCATTAGTTGTTGAATACACAGGAGACTAGAGATGCTTTATTAAAATTTCTCAGTTTATGTAAGGGAATACAATTTCAAAGTCATGCCATGAATTTAGTTCAAAATGTTAAATTGAAAGCAATAAGGCATTGCAAATGGTCTTATGTAAAATATACCAAGTTGATGTATTGAAGTTACATGAATYAGGAGAGAACATTGAAGTGAAGTTGAAAACATCAGCACTGTCCCCAATTAAGTTACAGTAAATATGTATTATATTTTACTATTTAAAATGAACATAAATTTAAGATCAGTCCTTTCAGTGTGGCTGYCAGCAGTAGGCATTTATCATAAGTATCCCAACAAAAGTAACCTGATGGAAATTAAGCATTACCCTCTATAATAATGATAACTCCCAGTAGTACTGCCCTGATTACTCAAGGGAAGATTATCTTAGATTTTTCTTTTCCTTTTACCTTCTGGCTCATTATGTTGTCTAAGCATCATTAGATATAGTTAMTAATTTCTTATACTTTGATCCTACAAGAAAAGGGCCCGGTTTTATTCATCAATTATTTTAATTGTTACTGCCACATTTTAAAAACCTCACAGATAGGTCACCATTATATAAAACATTAAAAGAACACATTCACCAAGCARCAAATACTATTTAATAAATCTCTCTTACATATTCCAGCATAATAATGATGTTCCTTTCATGTGTATTTTAAGCTAATCTGCACCCTCAGTTGTAAATTCTTGTTAAATGACCATTTGCCTGAAAGCCCCAGGAACTGATGGAGCTCCTTAGCCATTGCTTTCAGATTAAAACCAAGAATGTAAAGAGAAAAAATAAGGAAGATGTCCAGATTTTAAGTGTTCAAAAAATTTTAACATCTGGCAGCACCTTCTGCCTACATAAACAAGTATTGTCTATCATTGCTCCATTTGTRTTACTACAAAAGGTCTCATTATTTTACTATCAATACCTTTATGAGCTACTTTGTTTTAGTTAATGCCAAAAGCCAAAGTTAGTTTGGCATTTAGTTAATGCCAAAGGTTTGCTTAATCTCTGCTGTATTGCTTGTTCAYCATTGACAAATAACATTTCATGTGTTTGTGTTCTGCATTTTAGGACAGATCATRTGCAACTGCTTGTAGGAATTTGAGTGCAGGAGATGGTGGCTCCAAAGTTTGGTTACTGTATTGTTATTGATCCCTGTTGTTCTTGGACTGTTGTACATGGTTCATTGATTATCAGGTAGACCTGGTACTTGGTGAAAGAGGTCTTGCTTGATGGTTTTAGCTAACAAATTGATAGCCACTTCAGAGTCAGCAGGGGAATCCAGAGATATTCATCTCTTAAATATCCACCTCTTTGATGTAAGAGCCACATTTCTTAATTGTCTATTATTGGGATAGCTGTGCTATCACAACAGCAACTGAGCTGAAGTTCTGATACTGTATTTAGGTGTCACTAGGCATAACAAAAATATTAAAATGCAGTAATTAATGAGGAGGAAGGTGTTATCCTAGTTTAAACCAACTTGTTAGCAATAGCATTAATATTCTCAGTCGATGAATTATTGGCATTAAAAGGTGSAAGTGAGTGCTATCATCTTTGATAAATCGAGTGCAGACTGTAGAAATAAAGTTGTCATGAACTTTACATAGATTAGAATGCATCTACATGATCCTTGAAGAACAATCACTGACAGATGGCTGACATCTGAGAATCCAGTGCCTTCCAGATTTATTATTCATTCCTTTCATTTTGTCAATCTGATAACGAAATGTTTCTTGTCTCTCTGAGACTCCTTTGCCTAAAGTGGCAGGAAAAAATTCAGAAGCAGCGTGTACCTCACATAAGTTATCTTCTGAAGTGAATTCTGTGTGTATAAGATTTACAAGTGTCTTGAAATGTGAATACATTCTCACAATATATGCTGTGGGCATACATAATCACAGAATCATAGAAAGGTTTGGGTTGTAAAGGACCTTAAAGACCATCTAGTTCCAATCCCCTGGCCATAAACATGGACACCTTCCACTAGACCAGGGTGCTCAAAGCTCCATCCAACCTGGCCTTGAACTCTGTCAGGGATGGGGCATTCACAATTGTTCTGGGCAACCTGTGCCAGTGCCTCACCACCCTTTCTGTAAGGCATTTCTTCTTAATATATCTAATCTAAATGCACTCTCTGTGTTTGTCCTATCACTGCATACCCTTGTAAAATGCCCCCTCCATGTTTCTTGTAGGCCCTGTTTAGGTCCTGTAAGACTGCTGTAAAATTCTAAAACAGTCCTAATTGTTTACCTCATCAAGAGTTCAGGCCTTCCTTTTTCTGAAATGTAGTGCTGAATAAAGTCTAGTCTTCACTGTGATAATCAGAGAAACCATTGTGTTTATATTCTGAGCTGGATTATTTAAACTTCATTGAACTGTGTGTGGGCTCTTATTCAGAATCAGAATAACCTTTGTTCAGTGTACCCTATTTAATTTTAAAAATAAATTAAAACAAATGGAATTAATGCTCTTCAGTTAAGTATGACTACATGTAGGGTCAGTGTAATTTTAGCAGTCTATTCTGAATTCACACCTTAAATTCAGAATTATTTTGCCTTAAAAAGCAGGAGTAGGATGGGCAGATTTTACTCACTAGTGGTGGTCACTGAGCCCACCTAACTTAGATTAGATGTGCAAGGAAGCTTCAGCTTCCTCAAGAAACCATGGAAAATTTATATTTGGTTTTTTTTTTTTAAGGGGGTGTGGGTGGGTGGGTGTGTGGGTGTGTCCTTTTTCTAAGATCTCTCTTAAAAATCAAAGCATATCCCTCAATCAAAAAGATTCTACATCAGACATAYGATACCATGGCATAGTTTCATTTAGCAGGCACATTTATTATAGAGTTACTTTATTAAATCTATGCCTTAAGCAAGGCACGGTTGGTAAGGAAAGGAACCATTCTCTATCAGATGAACTGGTGCATATGGGGGAAGTAAAGGCAAGCAAGAAGTGAGAAAACTAATTGTAACTACTTGCCAGTACTGACACAGACTGGAAAGGTTTCTGTGCCACCTAGGAGCAAGGTATGGTTTGTGTAGCTCAGACACTTGGGCGCCTTTTCAAAAGACTCAGAATGGCTGTGGTACTTCTTTGTGCAAAGCCAAATTGCTGCTGTTCCTTTTTCTGCCCGTTGCTAATTTATTTTAATATTCTATATCCATTTAAGAGGAAGAGATGTGCCTCAAAATTTTYTTTGTATCCTTGAATGTAATTGACTGTGAGTCTTTCCTAATTTACAGTAATACAAGATAATGTGGATGTCTCTCAGGATATTGTCTCAGCAGCCAGTCAAGATTTTTTAACTGTGAACTGCGTGAAATTGTATCAGCAGTCTCACTAGGTAACTGCAGTATATTGAGTAATACTCCATGATGAAGAGCTGCTGCAGTCCTTTGAGATGGGTGGCAGGAATGTTTCATACAGGGTAAGAGTGTCTGGAAAGGAGGAGTAATGATACAGCTGAGACATAGCAGGTAAAGAATACCTCTGCTGAAACACAGTCTTAGAGCTCTGCAGATGCAGCTGTCAGTTTTATTTCAGYATTAAAATTCTGTGATGTGGAGAAGGATTCATTATAGCCACTGAAGGCTCTTGGGCCTTTTCTGGTACCGTAAAACAGAAAAGAAACTGATTGCAAAATACCTGTACAACTGGCATAGCATTTCCACACCCAGGTTATTTTATTTTAAAATGTATGCCTTCCATCCATCATTTTGTCCATTAAGGCAGGCAAAGACTATGGAACCAGTGTCAAGGAAATCTGTGCTTACTGTCATAGTCTCAAGGTACCACAGTTAGAGGTATCACTGCCCTCATGTAAACCCTTCCTGCAGACAGGTGGGGTGGTGGTGTAAACATGTAGCACGTACTTCTTTATATGTAGAGAAGGGAAGAGTGGTAAAAATCTCATTTTACCACAGTGTACAAGGCRTCTGAGACTACAAAACTGGCTGATCTCCGTGGCTTTGCTACTCACAATTATTTCRGTCTAATGGCTGTGTCCCGTTTTGTTTTAGGAAGACAAAGCATATGTGCRTGGCCCGTTCATGTAAATCAAGGCTGCAGGATCAAAACTTAGGAGGCAAACTCTTTATCAAAGGAGGAACACTTCATCACATTTGCATTAAAGGAATTTTGCCAGGTTTTGATATGCTGCCCTTTATGTTACTCCAAGTGCCATATGAGTAATACATTGGAAGCCACATCATTGCCGTGTTTTGTTGATTTAGGATTATTAACAATGTTCTCATTACAAATTATTTTTTTTCAGATCACCAGACTAATTCTGACATTAACTTGTCAGATGTCAGGGGAGCATCAGAAAAAACAGACCTCACTTTTAAAACAGAGGTACTTTCTGAAAGATTAGAAAGTAATGAGCAGTCAATATTGGTGCTTCCAAGAAGAATATCATGTGAGGTAAGACTTTCAGATGCTAAAATCTTTGGGATAACAGTCATTATTTTTCTCCTCTGCCTGCTGCAGTCTTATTCATGCTATATCTTCTATTTGTTTCCAAAATTGTCAAGTGACAAAAATGAGAGTGCATCGAGACTGCAGTGGGATTTATTTTGCCTTAGTGTTGCATCCCCACTGCAGTCAAAAGAYTTGCAAGTAAAGTAGTTTGGAGACAGCTCCATTAGAGTTTTTTAGCAACTTGAATAGAAGTATTACTGTCATGTCAGCCTTATACTTTAGAGGGAGCAAGTAATCATGCACTTCTTGGGAGATACCTAGTTTGTCTTGGCAAGAATCCAAGCTGGATATGTATATACATACATACATGCCCATACCATGAGTTACACAAGTGCTTGTGTGAGCATTACCTARTTTGATTTAAAATTAAATCAGAAATATCTATGTGTACGTATSTGCATGCATATCCCATGAACACAGATGTTCATATGTGTTTTTTAATCAGAGTGGCTGTGAGAAATATGTGACAGTGTAAACAGAGGAAGTACAAACTCCAGCACTGCATTCCTCTATATGAAGTAAGAGGTTAAGTGAGTCTAAAGTATTTTAGGTTATTCTTATTAGCATGGATGTCATTCTTCTAGGATATAAAGTAGAGGGGCCTTAGAAAATGTAATAGTTCTCCTACATATGCATTTAAAATACTGTTTTAAAGTATTCTTATGTAGCTGAATTTAAAATCCTACATTACTTGTGTCATTTATGTAAGTAAAATACTAAAGGAAGCAGYAAGATACCATCACATTTTGGTAGTATCATTTTTTTTTGCATGAAGCTGATGGTAAAGGAAAGTTCTTTCAACACACTTTCAATATAATGTTACACTTTCAATATAATTTTCTGAAGGACTAATGGGAACACATTTTAATTTTGTAGAACCCTGGTGAAATATTTATTCTGTTGAAAGATGAAATAGATGAAGAAACTCTAGAAATTGAATTCATAGCAGATAATCATCGAATTAGGACGCAGACAGCCTCTTGGAGCAAGAAGGTCAAGTATGTGAAAGCCCTAGGTAAGAAAAGTATTCTTTAACTTGAAGAAAAACTGAAAAATTTCARCTCCCTTCACTTTTTCTACAAAGTAGTTTCCCTTTCTGCTGTTTAGTGAGTGTTTCCTTTACTTGAGTTCTGCACACATAACTTCTAATAATGTAGAGAAGCATGGCCTTGTGATTTATGGGAAACTAGGTTCTATTAGATTGGTTTTCTGTGGTTAAATGACAGATAGCAGTCTTAAAATGTCATTGATTAGTTACAGATTAACATTCTTCAAAATTACTGTCATCAAATGCAAACCTAATATTCTTCTCTTATTACTAAATGTTTCATTTTATATTGAATGCGGTAAATTTGGGTATGCTCTTCTCCATAATTCCTGCTGATGCAGGGAATAATTTCTTTTTTCACATTCATGCCATTTCTCTGTATCACTCATCTTTGCTAGTTCCTAATGAGTCTTACATTTCAGCTCTTTAACAACAGTTTCTCKTAGATCTGTGCTGTTTTAAGGGCCRCATCTCTACCCACTCCCTTGATGTGAGTTAAGAATGAAAACATTTCTCAACTGTGTATTCAGAATATAGTTTGCTATTAGGCTGCGTGCTGTGAATTCCCAGAGGAATTTACATAACATTTTATTCTAAAATGATTGCTATATAACCTTAGATAGGAGAAATTGCATACACCCAGGCTACAATTTTCCACTGTGCCTCCTTGGAGCTACGTYCTGGTAATTCTGTGAGCTGATGATTTCTGTGACTCAGCATTGGTGAGGCTGCACCAGTCGAGTGCTGTATCCAATTCTGGGTACCACACTTTAAGAAAGACACTGAGGTGTTGGATTGTGTCCCAGAGGAGGGCAACAAAGCTGGGGAAGGGTCCAGAAAGTAACTTTTGTGAGGAGGGGCTGAGGGAGCTGGGGTTGTTCAGCCTGGAGAAAACAAGGCTCAGGGACAGCCTCATTCCTCTCTACAATTCCCTGAGAGGAGGCTGTGCCAGATGGGGATGGCTTCTTCTCTCAGGCAACACTGACTGGACAAGAGGATATGGCCTCAAGCTGTGCCAGGGGAGGTTCAGGCTGGACATCAGGAGGAATTTCTTCACAAAAATGTTTGTTAAGCATTGGAACAGGCTGCTGAGAGAGGTGGAGGGGTCACATCCTTGGAGGTGTTCAAGAAAAGACTGAGTGTGGCACTTAGTGTCATGGTATAGTTGACAAGTTTGTGACCAGTCAGAGGCKGAACTCAATGCTCTTAAGAGGTTTTTTCCAACCTAATTGAGTCTGTGATTTTCATCCTGAACACATTCTGAAATGATGGCTGCATATGGCCTGAGAGTTATCACTGTGATTGTGCGGAGAGTTTGGTTTTAGAAACCTAACTGGAAAATACGTATCAAACAGGGCACTTTCATCTGTAACTGGATTTCAGATAACAAAAGTTGCAATCCTCATGCACAGATCTTAAAAGACTCTTCAAAWTTWTTTTTTTTTTTGTGAGAAGACTGTTGATCACAAGAAGGTTTCTTTAGTGGATGAAGAAATAAAATATGAAAAGTAAATTAAATACGAAAAATTTGGCAGAGAGCTGTAGCTCAAGTTTAATTATRTTTCTTATATCATTTGTATTTAATGTTTCTTTCTGTTTCAAAATCTGAAGAAGTGGAAATTTAAAAGCATGCTTTTTTTAGATACACCTTGGTCTGATGTTATAAGGAAGGTGTTGTGTTTTGTTGTTTTGTTTTTTTTAAAATCCACATTTTGACAGTTTCCATTTAAGTGATTTAATATGCTGTACTATTAGTTTGGTTTCTCTGGCCCTATTACTCTTCTCCATTTTCCGAATTGCCCCTTTTTCCACTGTTTTGTGGGCAGAGTTAGTATTTTAAGAACACTGCTTGTATGGTCCAGCAGAATGCGTGGCACAGTGAACACTAATGGATTGGGAAATGTGCTCATAAAGTAGCCTTGTGCTGCATGTACAGAGCGAGTCATACTTGAGTWACAGATGACAAGTGCCTCTCTCCTTTGCTTTTACGAGGTAAACAACTGGAATGGAATTAATTATACTGCAATTTCTGCAGCCTAGCTCAAATAYAATTTTGAGAACCTTGACTGCAATTAAGAAAAACGTTCCATAAGATGAATAGCAATTCCATTATTTGTGATAAATGAACTTTTCCTTAACATATAGGCATAAGGGAGCTGATTGTAGGTCATCAGTCTATCAAAGGGCAGTTGGAAATTTTAAGCATTCTGTTTTCATCTCTTTCTAATGTGAAGYAGTACAATAGCTTTGCTTTATGCAGATTTAAAGATAGGTATTTTCTTTTGTCAGTTTTGTGATGTTAATCTGAAAGACCTGAATAAAAAAACTGACTACACTGAATCATCTGTGAAATGCAAATCCAGTTCATCAACTCTATGTTTTTTCTGTGATATTTTCTGTTCTTTTACTTATTCCCTGAGTTCTCTGTAAAATATTTTCAGCTACTGTTCTGATTTGTGTTTTATAAGATTTTCCTGCTGGSCCTGTATATGTAAATGTCTACTGTGGGGGAGTCATTAAGATGAGAGCACAGATTGAGTACTATTCTCCACTGGAGGAAATTGAGCCCATTTTAAAGAAAGTGGCTGACCCAATAGCTTTCATTTGTCAGGTAAGTTGACTTCTCAAATTTTAATTAAAGAGAAATAGAATATAAATGTCAATATGGACTAAGAGATAGTACACAATCCTTTGATTACACAATAATTTGTAATGGCACAGTAATAGGCTCAGGATTAAAAGCCAGTCTCTGAGATGTCTAGTTGTAAGCAACTCAGGCAAGAGAAAACTTTCTATTTTCTTGTTTTGTTTAGAGAGCGATGTRAATGTCCTTTGTGTTGTATGTGCCCAATGAGCAACATGCTGCATTCCAAAGGTTGAAAATAAGAATAAATATTAGTGAAGTGTCTCTCCATTTAAAGCGTCATTTTTTGTGTGTTCTGAAAACAATATAAGCAAGTAGTCTTAAACCAAATTGTATTTGGAGCGTTGTTGTTTGTTCACCATCAAACCAAATTTTTTTGGCATAGCTTTTATGGGAGGCAGTAGTTTGCTGTTCATGTAGAGTCCAGTTACAGCTGCTGAACTGTCAWTCCTGTGATTTGCTGGTTGCCATGCAGATTCTTTGCATATATTTAATAAAAATCAGTTTATGAGCTGTGTTTCAAATGAGTGCAGCAGACTGCAGTGGCAAATTAAGCCTGTAAGAAATAACAGGAAAAGAAAACATATATTAAGAAAGAACAGATCTCAAGTATCATTTGTTGAATGGTGGGTAGCTCAAGCAGACCTTTCATGATGTCTACATTATAATTACAAAACCAGAATGAAAGTAATAGTCTGTGTTTCCAGWGCAGACAGTCTCATTTTCCTGTGACAAATATACCTTATCTTCCACCTAAGGCATTACACTCATAACAAAAGGATTAATAAAATATGATRTATTGCATTATTAGTGTTCTGTTAAGGATGGGGCTAGATTCCTCCCAAGTACAAGTTACTTCTATTCTAAGAAAACACGCTGTTGCACAAGAAAAATAGTGCAACTTGAAGAACAAATGTATTCCTTAACTGTTTATGGTATCCATAATTCTTTAGCCTTTATTTTGACGTATATCAAAGCAAGCTTCTAACAGGTATCATTTAAACCTCTATGCATAAGTGTACCATAATGATTTTAAAAAGTTATCACTAAAATGGTAACCTAGGTACCTACAACACACTTGGTATTTCCACTGAGAGTTATTTGTGTTATTCAGGAGTTTGACCCTTCATTTAACCAGCATGACTAATATTTAGTAAAACCCATGCAATTTGAATCATATTCGAATGCAAAAATAATTCTGTGCAGAGCAGCAGTGCACACCAGGAAATACAGCTGTAGTGTTATGACTRTAAGGTATGTTTAGCATTTCCTCACCTTTACTCATCTGAATAATAAGCAAGCATTTAAATGAGGTGACATTGTTTATCTGCTGTTATTTTTATTGTTTTGGCAACTGAAAAACTAATGTTGAGAAAATGTTTATAATGGGATAAGTTCTACAATCCACACAATGTCGTGGATACTCTGTGGCAAAGTATACCAATGGTAATTCTATTGTAAGTATTCCTATGTGTTGGAAGGTTTGTCTTATTTAATGGTACCTGCTGGGCCACAGAGTGAGGTACACTAACTAGCTAAATAGCTAAAATTTTTCTGCAAACTTTCAAAATGAGYTCCTGATTTGATGTCAACAAGCTASATCATAAAGATGCAATTTACAGAACATAATTTAACTTAATCTTCAAAATATGATCACAAAAGGAAAAACAAAACAGAYTTGATACTAATTAGAATTCCCACCAAGTAGCAGGCGTAGTAGTAACTTTTTTTTAACAAGGATAATTAAAAGCTTGGAGACTATCAACTTGTTTGCAAAAGTATCCTGGGGCAACAGTCATTTATCTATGCAAAGTAACAATAAAACACAACGGAAAACAAAACTGATATAAAACAGAAAAGCTTACAGCAATTATTGATCAAAGCAATATCACTCTGGTTCAAAGGAAAGTTCAAGATTTTCACAAGTACTTGCAATCTGAGAAGTATCTCCTTGTTGAAAATCTCTGATGAAAGCAAATGGCTGTATTAGTTCATAATAAAGACAGAGTGCTTTGGTAAAATGCTTACATAGTATTTTGTATTTTCTTGCCAACCTTTTCAGCTYCTTTGAGGTGCTCCAATTTGTCCCCCAATAAAACCAAAGAGATAGACAAACCCAACAAACAGGATTACAGATATCCATTCCTTTTAGTGATGGTTGGGTGAATTCATGTGTCTTAGTGGGATACTATCAAAATATGGTACTACTGCATTTATAAATCAGTATTTAGACAGCAAATAATGATTGTCAGTAGCTAAAGTTTAGATTAAACATAATCTTAAGATTTTACAAATCATGGTTTTGGTTAAAATTCTTTGCTACATCTGATAGATTGTAGTTTTCTGTTTTATTTTTTTTTCTGACTTTAAACAGCATTTTACCAACATCATCAAGACATTTTAATCAACCAAATAAATATCTAAAATGTAATTAATTAAATAAATAAAATTAAATACATTTCTTTGCATGAATTTTGAAAGAAAAAACCTGAAAAGTTGAAGTAGGAAGAGTTGGGATCATAATAACTGAATCATAATGCTGAATGGATTTGCTGTGAGAATACAGGAGGATGAAAGTTGGCTAAAGGTCATGATTTTTGGTTCTCTCACTTTCACGTAATTCTGCATTAAAGAAACTCTCTTAGGGAGTTTATGTTCTTACCATAGTCTAATGGACAGACTGACTTTAAGGTTTTTATAATTCATAATTAAACTTTTTCATATTTCATGTTTTACTTTTCATCCACTAATCATTTCAGCATTCTGGTGGATTTATATGCTGTATTGATTTTTCTCTCAGAGTTTCTACCAAATGGAATTATTGATTCAATTATTTAGTGTTGAGGTTTCCTGGCATAGATTTATTAGGTTTCAAAACCAATAAATTGAAACTAAGGTCATATCCTTATTACTGAAGTTGATGTGTTCATGTTAGTTTGAGTGACTTAGAACATCTGGAGAGATTGAGGAAGTCTTTATGAACAAACTGGTTGACTAATACTCCTATGATTCTGAGATACTTGGTATCTTAAAGGATGTTTTTATCATAGTCATTAAACAGGATTCCAGTTACAGTGACATTGGAAAAAAAGAATGAAAATAAACTGCAGCCTTCTGTATAAAAAYTTGTAAAATAGCTATATTACTTATGTGGTGACATTGTATGTGCATCTTTACCTGATCCCCAGAGATACTGCCTTTGAAACTGTATTTAATATTTTAGTCTTCTCAGCCACATCAACAGCTGTTGTTTTAAAGTCTCTTTCCTCTAGGTATGAAAGCTGTCCATATTCTATCACTGTCTAAAATTGTCAAAAATGCCTGAGTGATTTTTAAACCTAGCCCATTCTCTTTGGCAGAAGCAATGCAGATATGGAAGTGCATATAAAGTAGTGTCTGATATRTAAGAACTACTGAAGAAGTTCATCTTTATGTAAATATAACCTCATTAGTAGTGCCAAAGCCAGTGTGGATATATGTTAATTTACTGGCTGTGGCTTCTGTGTTTCAGTGGCACATATTTTCAGAGCTTGGTTAGCAGTTATTAAAGAACTTAATAATCTCATTCACGAAAGTAGCAAAATATGTGCTTGGTTTTTTCCATTTTCAAGGGTGCTCTTGGAAGCCCAGGTGTGATGGTCAGCACYTGGGGCTTTTCTGTTCACAGCTGTGTCCTGTTGCTCTGAAAAGGGGCTCTGATAGATAAAGTGCCTACAGCTGGGGAGGTGATAATGAGCCCTAGGATATATAGCAGTGTGAGCTRAAGGACTTCCAGTCCTGGAGCAGAGAAGAGGTGGCTGTGTGTCAGTGAGTATGGGGAAAAATTATGTATAAACTCCCTGGTTTTATTCTTAGGTGCTTCAAGGACATAGGGGGAAACTAGCATTATTGCTAATTTTGTCTACTACATCTTTATTTGGATAAAATGTGGGCTTTCTCAAACTTGTGGCTGGCTCAGTGTTCTCTTTCAGGGTACTTAACTTTAAACGCAATTTTGCTTCTGTTGGCTTTGGTGAAGCTTCAGCATGAACTTTAAGTTTGTAATGTTGGTGAGATTTCTTGGGAAGATTTCAYGGGCCTGTAGAGGTGTGTGTAGGATACATTACAATGTGTAAACACAGCATAGGCTGAGTCTGTGAGTGCCCTGCGGCAGAAATGGGCAGCAAAGTAAAAGTCTCCAAACTGAATTCTTTTTGGGGACATGACCTTTATGCTTTGGAGCTAGGTAGTGCAAACTGGCCCTGTTCCTAGTTCTGTTTTGCTGTTGTTTTAGCTGTTACCCTTGCAGAAGTGCCGGCACACGCCTTCCTGTGGGATAGCAAATTGCACTGCTAACTTTGTATAAGAAGTGTATTGTTCTTGACTTGGAAATCATAGAAATGGATAGGCTGGTCATTGGAAGGAAGACCTGTTGAAGTATGAGAAATTTTGCTGCAAGTTCCTGAAGCTCTTCTCTCTTCAAGAGCTTGTTCTGTCTCAGGTTGTGAAGCGCTGTTTTCTTCCATGTCAGTTGGGTTGTCAATTATGTTGAGCATAAAGTACATTCTTAAGGGCTCTTTTCAGGTTTCTGACTGAATAAAAGGAATAAGGAGGAGTTTTGGCCTCAGCTCCTACTAAAAAGCAGAGGAGATTTGTAGGCAAGATGTCCCAGAATGCTTGYTGAAAAGAGATTATGGAGGGTTTATTTATATTGGATACCCAGTACAGTCTGAAATTGATTCTGTCTGAAATTGCAACTCTGGAAGATAAGAGACAGGTGGTGTTGAGGTGGGTTTTGTTTATTTGTTCGTTTTCTTTTGAACAGAGAAGGTTAGATAGGTAGCACAATGTGGAAGGGCTATCACCTGCCATTTTAAATAGAGATTAAAACTATTTCTTCAAGTTTAGTTTGTCTARAAGTCCACTTAAATTCTTATTCTCTATTTAGTGGGATATCTACTATGCAGTTGCTTCAGTGAGTACCAGTGGTTTTGAGCTTCTTTCTTCATGACACAGTATCTGCTATATGCACCCATCTGAGTTAGTTCCTGTATTGTCACTTGGTTTTGCCCTACTCTAGATTGACCTCTATTAAAGTAGTATAATGATAATGTATCTGAGAAGAACTACTTGGAAYAAGAGAGAATAGTATGGTTTCCTAACTGAATTTTGATACTATTCTACTTAATAACTTGGAAACATAGTGCTGTTAGTAATATTAATATTTTGGGGGTTTTATAGATATTTAGGTTTTGTATATGTTTTTTCAATTCACATTKTAAGTCTTGTACTCAGGTTAGGTTTTTATTCTAGAACAAGCCTCAAAGGTCTTTTTTCCTAGGTGCAATATTTTTTAATGCTTATTGCTTTGCTTATTGAAGATTAATGTATGTATTCATAATTATTGAATAAAAAGTCCAGGGAATTAAATTTGACAGCATAGAAAGGTAGTGAATTATGAAAACAAATGCAGTGGGTTTTATATATCTTAATATTAGAAGGGCCAAGGTTAATTATGGGAAAAATAAACATTCATATTGTTAGCTACCTACCTGCACAAACTTCCGATTCTTGGTGGGAGTTGGATGAAAATTATATCCTACCTCTGCATTCAACATTTTCTGATCATGTCATACTTTTCTTATTTTAACAGTCTTGGGAAGCAAACTTTATATTTCATCAATAGGCCCCTCTGTCCTTTTTTCCTCAGCATGTCAGTCACAGTTTCTTTTTCAGTACATATGCTAACCGTGTCTGCAGATGTTCCCTTTTAGCCATCCCAGAATTGTCTGGACCAGCTGTATTCAGCTGTGGGAAGGCAAACTTTAGCACAAGGCTGCTGACCCTGAGCAGAGCAAAGCAACCTTCCCTGAGCTCTTCTCTGCTGTGGCACTCCAAAATCTCCTGGGAATCAGTGAGGATTTCCCTTGCCTAAAGACGATGCGTTCAGTAGTAAGCTAATCCGTGTGGTTGATATCAATTTGTTGTTCTGTCAACAATGTTATGTCTTGGCTGATGAAACTGAAGCTGTTTTCTACCTAGCCAAGTCCACAATCTTAGTGTAAAAGTTTTGRGTGACAGAACAGAGCTACTATAATTTTTAAATTCAGCCTGAATGGTTGCATAAATCTTCCTGTCCTTACACTTCATCCAGAAGTTTTTAAGTCGTGGCTGAACTTATGTTATAAAACGTGTTTATGTACAGTTAGATCATGTTTTCATGGTTCTTTTGATTAAAATGTCTCTTCTATAGTTTTCAAAAACTGTGCTGCTCTTGGTAAGAGTGACTTTGCTGTAATACTGTTTTGAGTAATTTGATTCACCGGCGCTTTGAGTATGAAGTTAAAAATACATATGCAACAAATGCACTAATATTTTTTTTCTGTTTTTCCTTTCTTTTACGCAGGCATTGRAATTTTCTTCTATAGAGAAGGTAGACAATGTTCTGACTTTGTTACTGAAAAGCAAAATATCTACTTATGAATTCATCCCATGCCAAAGTGAAGAAGAGCAGCATCAACAATCTAGTGAGTCACTTGTTCTATGCCTTGATTTTTATTACTGATGCCATGGTTATAAATGTTAATAAGACAATCTTTAAGTATTGAAAGCCTCTAGTGAAATGGAAGAATCCACTATAAAGACAACATAAGTAGGAAAAATGGGAAAAAGAATTCTGCAAATCATTACRTTGAAGTTGCTTCGTGACTCAGTACTATCTATTTATACTTGTCTGGATTTTTGATCAGCTTTGGATTAACTGCAAATTAACAGCTTTACAGCTGAGCAAATTTATATGTGTGGAGCAAATGGGTAATACGAGTCTTGTTGAGATGCCTTCACATGATATGTTTTTTACTAATTGCTCTTCTGCAATGCAGTTTAAACTCCACTTTTCCAAGTCTGAAATCTGAAAGATTTCTCTGCCTAAAGAGAATAGATGGCTTTTGGTCTTAGAACAACACTAAACTCTTCCAGTTACTTTTAGTACCTATGCACTTTATAGGTTTCATTACTTCTGGCAAAAAAAAAGATGATTTTATTATTTTTAATTTTTAAAAGGAGGCTTCCCAGTGAGTTAAAATAGGGTTTCTCTATAAAGTAGACCCCTTATATGCACTGTTCAGTCATGCATCAACAGAAGCTACTTTTAGTACCAAATACAGGGCTGTGGTTGTATTCATTAACCACTTACAGGGATTTAAACTGGTTTGCAATAAACCAAGAGTGTGGTTTATTGGCTTGGTTATTTATTTGGTGTGGTTATTTAGCTGGTGTTTCAAAAGCATCATTATTATTATTATTATTCCAAATATATATTAAACCTCACCTTTTCTAAGAAACTTTTGGGGAAAAACAATACTCCAGAAAATGAGTTTCCCTTTAAAAATGCTTGAGAAAGATGTGTTTGAAATGTTGCTTGACCTCTGTTTTGTGTAGCTGGACTGTGGTTTTGGGAGAAAAATAAGCTATCTACAATGAAGTACAACATATAACCAAACACAAACAAGTTCTGAAAATAGTCTACTGTGGTTGCTATCATGTTTCCTTTTCTCTTCTTTGTTGATGCAATTCACTCTTCTGTATTAGATAAACACGATTCAACTTGTAATGTGAAAATGAGCTTAAATGTCAGTTAGTGGAAGCAAATAAATGAGGCACCTGTCCTTGACACTTTCCTGTGCGAGACTGCAAGATGAGGGTGGATTAGATACATTCAAGAATCTTTCCCAATCTGAGATGTTAGTTGATGAGCAAAAGATTTTCACTTCTTTCGTAACTGGTACATCTAGTCATGTTTTTGAACATAGAGAATAATAACTAGCCTGCTGTACCCACAAAAAAGGCCTCTATAGTTCAAGAGCAAGTTGACTGCTTGAGCCATGTAGTGACCTTAAAATCAACTGGCTTGATGTATGGCCTGAAAAGAAGGTAGGGAGTTAGATGCTCAGATTCTTCATGAAGGAAAGATGTGTTTGTAGAGCTGGAAGCACTCAGAATGTGGGAGGCTTAGCCTGTGGTCTCTCTTCTGCCTGGAAGGTATATAAACATGTGTCTTTGACTCCCATAAAAATATCCCAAACAGGCATTAGATTTGTTCAGGGGAGAGTGAGAGGAGGTCAAGCTTTCAGCATGAGGCCTAGATAAGAGAAAGCTTTCTCTGTATTGTTCTACATTGATGCTTTAGTTTAACTTTCTCACTGGCACATCAAGGTACAGCTGATAAACTGCTGCACTTGAAAGATCTCAAAATGACCTCTAAGAGAACCAAGAATGAAGAACTTGGGATTAATTTTATTGGATAACTAATGAATTGCGTGGTTTGATTTCTCATAAGGTGTGCAGCTGTGTGGTTAAAAACTTGGCAGTGTCAAACTAAATATAAAATGCAGTATGATGCTTTCTTATACTGATAGAAGTTTAAATCAAAACATCATGAGATCCATGTTTGCTTATATAATTTTTGGGAGCCACTTCCATCCCCAAAATGGCTGTTCAATATTTTAGTATGATAATGCAATACTCGTGAGCAGTCAGTGGCTGGCAAAGTCAAGATAAATGTCAAAGGTGCAAAAGGTTAACTCTGATACAGATGAGAAAGCTAAATGCAGACTGGATAGAARCCACTGGAAAATACTGTGTTTAACAACAGCATTAACAGAGAGACAGAGCCAAGGCTTGCCTGGGATTTTTAGTGGTGCTGTCATCCCTTGTGGAAGAATGTCCCTAAAGGTGAAAATACTTTCTAAAATATTCAAAACACTTCATACTGATTTGATTTCAGGGTGTATTTTATGTAAATTATTCCTTTATATTCTAGTAATAGAATCCAGGCAAAGCATACTAACAAATCCAAACTYGTATTTCACAATACTTCTTGAGAAATATTTTTCTTCTTGGAAAGCTCTGATTCTGCTCATGAATCCTCAGATTTGGGAATTCTTGTTGCATTGACTCCTGTCCAAGAAATAACAATTTACTTGAGGAAAACCTGATTCATTTTCCACTATTCATTAATTTTCTTTTTCTACAAATCGTCTATTACTATTTCTGTAATTAAACTCAGCTATTGATGCTTATGAAAAGTTCTGAACTAGCTTTCTATAAAACACTGCTTTTTGTCACCTAAAACTGCTAGAAACGTAGCAAATCCTATCCTGATTTCTGTAATTCTTTTTTCCAAGTTGAAACATCTGTCCCAGCTGGGTATTCAGCTGCTAGCAAAATAATTGGCGGGGGGGAGAGAAATGTTGGTATTGGCACTGTAGAAATCATGTTAGGTGCCTATTTAAATTGCTAAAAAAAAGAAAATAATCTCCTGTTTCAATAATCTGAGAAATGAAAGAAGGATGTCTTACAAGATGTGCAGAAATATCACTGCAGGCTGCTCTGTTTCCTTACTGCAATTTTATGAAAATTCCCGCAGGCTAAGACAATGCTACAGTACAGTAATATTAGATTTTATGCTCTGTTTTATAGCTAAGGTTTTACAGAATTCTCTGCAGAGGAGAGAAGGGATTATGACAGGATAAAACATACNAAAAAAAACAAACCAAAAGAACAGCAATTCCCTCTTAACCTTGTCTATGTCAAATAAAACTTTAATTAAAAGCAAGCACTGGCCACAATGTTAGTTGAAAGATGAAGAAGCTGCCTTAAAGCACTCAAAAATATGCCCCTTGAGGATTTTCTCTTTAACCTTCCTCCCAGCTTGTGACCATCAGCTAACCAGTTCTTAGTGCAGGTGCCAAACAGCCAATATTTTCTCTATCAGCATTCTCYGTTGAAGGATGATACTGAGTAAAAGCTGTTCACTTGCCATCACCCTCATAACTACTGCTTTTGCTCAGTTCTATATAGTTAGCTGAAATACCAGTTTCACAGCTGTCAAAATTTCCAGCAATTTTCACCAATGCAGTGTGACAAACTTGCTACTTCAGGAATGGTGTTTTCTGCCTGAAGCATATGGGCTTTCAAATCGTTGCACACTCTTCCTACTTTGTATAATACAAAACTTCATTTAAAAAAGTTAAGCATGGCATGATGGAATTTTGTTTACAGCAGAACATCGAATTTATCTTAAGAGCTCACGTAACGTTGAGAATTGGCAATTAAGGAATGGTTATAATTTAAAAAGCAAACACAAATAGATGTCATAGTGGGTTTTTGTTACCTGTTATTTTGACCAATAATTATCAAATTGTACCCAAAACAATGGTTGGTTTCTGCTGTAGATCCTGATGGACAGAGGTATGTTCTTCACCTTCTTTGACTTGGGAGGGATTCAAACAGTTAGGGGTTTCTCTTGTCAGAATGAGGGCAAAAAGAAAGATCTGGGGTTTCAATCATCTCTTTTGAGGTCAATTAACCTTTCTATATTTCTTAATTAAGTATATAGTTGGGGGAGAAATTTCTGAGAGGCCATATCTAACAACATCTTTTTCCCCTCATGGAAGGGAAAGCCTTCATGGAAGGCAAAGCTATTTGCTTATATTACTAGCTAATTATTATTAGCTATTAATATACTGGTACCAGAGCTGCATACAGAAATGGTCATTGAATGTTGTCTCTGCTKCTGGTTTAGCATTTGCCAAGACAGCAGCCATACAGAGGTGGCCTGAAGGTTCAATGCTTTGTGGGCTTTTATCAGCAAGATGTGGAGTGTTTGGCCCTTGAATTTTGCATCCTACTTTGTGTACGTGCAGGGTGCTGCCATCTGTGTGCCTGAAAAGGTTTCAGCAGTCTGAGTGTTGAAAGCTGTCTGAAGTTAGTGGAGTTCAGTTATCTCATGATCATCTGATGGTCCTCACAATTACCTTCTGCTTTGTGTCACAATTTGATGCCACCAGACTTCAGTTTTCATGAGAAACTGAAGAAACTAAAACAGTCTGTTTGAACCACTTCCTTCCTTTTTGGGTATTATGTGAAAGACCTCACTACACCACCAGTGTTGCTTTTAAAGTTTTCATGCTTGAAAACAGCCTTTTTTTTTTTTTTTTTAGCTATATTGCTACAAGGAGTAATATAAAAAAATTGGTTTAGGAGTTTGTTTTTTTTTTTGCCATCTTCCATGGCTAGCTGAGGTATTTAATTTGTTAATGATATAGTTTCTTGTAACATTCAAAGTATGTAAGTGTWGGAGTCCTGCTTGAATATCAAACTCAGGGTGAGAGGGCTTGAGTGGTGACCAGAGAAAACAGCTCAAGTGCAAGGAGATGAAGGGATTTTGGAATACTTCTGGTTTGTGTTACGTTAAAAATGCAGGTATGTGCCTGCCTAGAGCAGGCTTATGAATACCATCTGCTGTTCTTCTATTTACATTGGTGAAGAAATCCGAGCATCCAGTCCATTGGTAATATAGACTTGATTGCCCTTTCAGATTTCTAACCAATTCTTTTGGATTTCATTAGTGTGAGTGGAAATTCATTAGGAGCATGCTATTAATGCTGTGTTAAGAYTCTTTTTACTGACTGTATTTGATCTTCTAACGTCTCCTAATAGGGTGAAAACTATTGAGAAAAGTTTCTAAAATTTACTCTTCTTTAAAATTACTGCTCAACACCTATTGCATTGCTGGAATTGAAAAAAAAAAATAAATAGCAAAACTCACAAGTAGTAAGAAAAGCAGTTTGATGATTTGTGGAAGTTCTTTTTTTTTTTTTTGATATTAGCGTAGGTTAGGACACTTTTTAAAAGATAATACTATTTTTCCCTACTTGTAGCACCTACTTGTATCAAAAACCTTAGCTGCCATGCAGTTTTGAAATTGCGTGTTGTAGCCCAAAGGATTTTTAGGCACACTGCAAACACAAGGGACTACAAGCTACAACACATACCCTTGTTGATGGAAGCTCAACCTGCCAAGGCTTCTAAAACGAGTGACTTGATTTACACAGGTACTGTGTATTTATAGTTTCTTGATTAGATTTTTCATTGCCTGATGGAAATAAAAGGCAACACTCAGTTCRTTTAAAAATCAGTTTAGGGTTGTTAATGGCACTTTTGAGTGAAATGTAGCCCACTCAAATACCTGTGTCAAAATAATATTGGAGTGGGGTAGTGGTGCGATATTCTTTGTCCAAAAAACAGTCATGAATTGTCCTAATATTTTTTTTCTCAGTCAGTACTTAGCTATGACTATTCCAAAAACTGCCCTTATTCCTTATAT